GTAGATTGTGTTTGTTTGATGACATTTGACATTAGATGTTCCATGTTTTTCATAATTATAATTTATGGCATTTATAGATATAGCCGATGATGATATCAGTCTTCAAAATGCCATCTTTCGGGACTGAATGGCTTCTAAGCCTTGCTGTCATTCTGCAATTCTAAGGCTATTCATTTCAAGGACGTTTTATGTGATGTGGTTTTTTTGAGTAGCTTGCAATTTCTACTAGCTTGTTATTTGTTCAGTCAAAAAAATCAATGGTCAATCTTTGGAGTCAACTTAAGCATTATCTGTTACAAATTTTAACTAGGAAGTCTGCTTCTCCTTGATTGCTGATGGTTTGCTGATGTTTGTTCCTGTGTTTTATTACTATTTCTATTTCAATTTCCTTTATAGCTCATTAATCACAAGCTTCTTTCTTCCACTTGCTTATGGTACTTATAAATTTGTCTCATTAGGTGCTTACGCTGCTACCCTTGGGACCAGAGCTTCTCAAAAATGTATTGCTGGAAGCAGTGGATTTCGTTTTGTTGTGTTTGAACTTTCACAATAAAATGCATTTGTAGTGTTGTTCCGTAAGGACTGTTTTACAGAACACAGAGCAACACAACAAATGCATTCTAATGTGAGGTTTCTAGATCCTATGCTGAGCCGTGTGGATGAATTTGTGGCTCCAAAAGTCATGCTTCAAAATAGGACCTTGAACAGCACTATAAATGTGTTATGATATTAAGGCCTCCATGACCCTAAGGCGTTGGGCTGGTTACAAGCGGGTTTTATTTTGGAGGTAATAATGTAACGGAATCTCATCCGTACTTGAGTTTTGGTAAGGAACATTGAATTGGTTTATTTATTTGTTATGTTCTCAACCCTAAGTGAAAGATCCAACTTATACTGACTTATACTTAAAAGTTTAAAATTGATTTTGCTTGCGCCTAACAAGGTGATCTTTTTTAGAATGAAAAATTTATGAAGTTTCACTGTTATGCACCTTTTTTAAATGAATCAATTTTGACCACAAAAAACCTTTCAGTGCTTTATTAAGGCACAATGAATCATCAACTTATTACTTCAAATCCTTTAGAACCTGGCTCCTCTTCTAACGCCAAACAGGTCAGCTTATTTTGGCGTTCTTGCTAATATTAAATACACAGGTTTGAAATATGAATTTCTTATTTTTCATTATGAAGAATAGTAACCGGTTAAATGTAATTTGATTGAATGAAATTGGCCTGATGTGGCTGCGAGTAAAGCATTTTCTCCTCTAATCTCATCTTGCTTTGATATGCTATGCAAGTTTCCATGCGCCATTGTCTCTGTCAACTCTATTTTTCAGAAGCTGTGTCCAAATTTCAATGCCATGTTCTCTCATTTCAATTACTATATTATTCTCATCTTTCTTTACCAGTTTTTACTAAAACCGTTTTTTCCATTATTCTTTGCCCCTTTCTCTTTTCAATTATAGAGATTTGGATGTCATTGTGGCAACCAGTAAGGTAAATTGTTTGTTTGGTTCCATTCTTTTTCAAATGCATATCTAAAGTTAAGGGTAAGAACATGTGATCACTCTTTCATTTCCTTTTGATTCCTTCTCACTTTTAAAATGTCAAGTGCTATTTTGTCTTTATTAGTCACTCCTCTCCTTGCTACTCTCTCTCATCAGATATTGGAAAAGGATGCTTATTGGTGTTCAGCTTGACAATCTGCTAAATCCTTTACCAGCTTCAAAGGTGCAGGGTTAGATGTGTTTGATGAACTTCGTTATCCATTCCTCACCCGTTACCTTTGTTGGTGTTTGATTTTTCTTTTGTTTTATGAAGTGTGCGGTGATGAGGCAATTTATTGGACTAGAGTTTCTGATCTGGGTATTATGCTCAGAACTTGATTAACAAACCCTTGACTGTCTGAGCACACCTTTAAGGAAGTTTTCAATTCCTTTTCTTGAGTTAGTATTTTTTCCCTTTTGAGGTGACCGTTTTGAATGTGTTGTTCAATTAGTTAAGAAAATTGGCTCGTGATGATAGTTTAATTATCTTAGCGGATTTCAGTGAGATTTCTATCAATGATCTTATTGTTACACACACTGAAGCCTATTTTCTTTATGGATATTCTTTAATTTAACGTATTATATTAGATGTTGCTTTGGATGCCCCTTTTCTGTAGTCGTGTTTGGTTTCTTAATCTTTGGGGGCACCGATAAAATGAAACACTTGAACATGTTTCAGGGCAGTGGCCGTGACCATTCAGCTTCGGCCTGAGCCCTTTCCTAACGACTTATCCTTGCACTGAGCACTGTGTATTAGTTAATTTCTTGATTGCGATTACTGTTTAAAGAGTTTGCATCTCTCTGGCTAGTTACTGAATAATTTCAGTGGGAATAAGATTAGATAGGATTTTATTCTGTTCCCAGTTAGTTTGGATTATGTCCTAGCGTGATCCTCCCTTGTTTTTGTAACATCTGGCTATGTGTCGCTGTATTTGGACGAGTGATGGGAAAAAAGATTATGGGCTTTATCAGTAAATTGAAGTTCGTATGCTTTTCTGCACCTAGTGTCGTTTCGATCCCATCTTGAATTTGCAATTCTAATTTCTTATTTATTTGTAGAACTGTTAAAATTCGTTTCTCTTGTAATTTGTATTATTGAGTCCCCCCCCCCCCCCGGGGTATGCAAGTGGAAGGCAGTGACTATGGCAGGGCAGACGAATTTTTGAAGGGTTGCGGGAAGAAAATAATATTGAAGTACTACAGGGTGCATAAGGTGTGGCCATGAAAGTCCTGCTGCACGAGACTCCTTTGGGCAAACAGGTTGTACCCTTTTAGGAGAATATTGAAGGACGATAATTTCATTGGGGTGATTTTTGTCCTTTCGCTCTCTATTGCAGAACATTGTTGGTGATTAATGTGGTCTGGTGTAGATTTGAATATGTTTTGTTAACCTTGTAAGCTTTATCACTTGCATGATTTTCCACTTAGCTGGTATTGTATTTCAAATTTCTTTAATGATAATTTTTTGTAATGATAAATTCTTTATTATTAAAATTATGTTCGAGTGTTTTACCACTAAATTAGATGATTATGTGATTTCAATTGGCGGTAGGATAACGTTAAACATAAAATTGTCGATATGAAAGGAAGGTGCAAAAGAAATCGGATCTTTCAAATTGCTGGTCGAAAAACAACGTGAGCGGGGGGAGACGTGTTAATAACGATTTGACTCGTCAGCTTGTAAAAATTTATGATTATAGTCAAAGTCATTTCTAATTTATATATGCTAATGAACACATTGGGGATCATTGAATTATTTTTAATATCTTTATTAATTATACTAAACTCTGGAACTATTAATTTTTATTTTCTTGCTATCTTTTTTTTTTTCGTGGTTAGCCTCTTATTATCATTATTAAATATGAGAATATATGGTTAAAAAGGTACATAATACTCCTTGAAGCTGAGCAAATGCCTTGTGAAAAATACTTACTAGTTGATCCCTTATAATAACGGGGGAGTAAATAAATAGCCATTTTACAGTTAAATTTATTTTAATTGATTTTTTTTTGTTTTGCCAATTGATTGATGATTATTTTCTTTTTAAATTTTCTTACAAAAGGGAAGGGCGTTAGCCAATAACCATGAGAAGGATTAATCAGTTTCAGACAGCAATTTTCTAAGTGAGGATAGGAAAACAGTTTACAATTGCATGATTTGTATTTCACACCAATTGAAAACCGAAATCACCATATAAGCTGAGAATTAATGCTTCCAACATTATGGAATTTTTACGTTGTCATTGTTATCATTTCCTAAACCAAAAATAGTATTCCATGTCCATGTCTATTTTACCAGGCATATATTGATAATACGCCGAAAGTAAATGGAAGTTAAACATTTTTCTAGAATAAAATAGAAGAAAAATAACCAAACAGTATTTTACCCAGCTCAATTCTATTCCTTACTATGTCATTGTTACAATTAATTTTATCCAAAGTATATTTGAGCATCATTTTCAAGTAAATCTCATCATAACCAATGGCTGAGACTCCCCAATTATTTGTAGTTCAAATACACCGCATGATGACTTGATAAATGAAATCAAAATAACCGGCCAGAATTCGATATACTCGAACCATTTCTACACCCAGTCACGACAAGAAGTAAATACAATAACAATGATGAAAAATTAATACTGGACAATAAAAAAATGAAGAGCCTTACATTGTTTTTCACAAGACTATTTGTTACAGCACGTGATTACGAGGCCTATGATACATTTATGGTGAAAAGTACTCAAAAATCTTCACCATTCTTGCGTAATTCCCAGTTCCAATTGTCATAGAGCTACTAAAACGATAACTGAAACCTCACACGTGATCTGCCAATATGCCACGAGTGCTGAGAATCTCTCAATGTCGTCTTAGCCTAATGCTGTGAATAATTCCATACATCACTCTTGCTCTCCGATCATTCGGGTCACAAGTCCAACAGCAATTGTTCTTCCTGATGCTCTTAGAGACACCCTTCCAAGAGCTTTACAGCTAGAGGATTCTGCCACACATACTGGCTCTTGCAAAATTACCTGAAATAAGAGATAACAAAATTTACTCCATATTTATGTAGTGTTTGGGACTACAGAGGAAGAGGGCTAAATTTATTTTAAGATGATGAAAGATTGTTGAGACTAAGTTCTTTTATTTGTTCACCTCAACTACTGCACTCTGCTTTGCAATGAGACAGCGGGGGGACTTTTTTGTCACCTCCCCAGTCTTGGGATCAAGTATTGACAATATTTTTGAAACTCTCGCAGGCTCCTTGGCGTGGTGTACATGAAACTCTATCTGCACAGGGAAAAAAGGAAAATGAATTTTTCCTTTCTCTCTTCTACTAATAAAACAGGTGAGATTCATAGTTCCTACCTGCGATCCTACCAATATGGGATTTGCACCCTCTAACACAAGCACCTTCAACTCCAAATGACTTGCAACTTTAACAGGAAAATCAGGATGGCATAATACTGCTCCTGGCATCACATGACTTGCGTCTACACCATTCAACGCGACAGCTACATTATCTCCAGCTCTTGCAATAGTGCAAGCATTAGAATCACGCTCCAATGTGCGAACTGTCCCCAAAACAGCTGAAGGCATGACTAAGACCTGCAATTTCATATAGTTTGAAAATAAATAATTTTTTTCCATGCCACAGCAGGAAATTCATTGTGAGCATTTCTCTCTTTTGATCAAAATGCATTAACACTCAAATACAAAGTCTTAAAGACTATTCTTGCAAATATTAGCAACCAATAACAATAGTATATCACCGTACCCTAAGGTTGGGATAACAACAATGAGAAAAGTACGCACACCTATTCAAACCAATATAACAAGATATGAAGAGTGAAATGGTGCATATAGAACATTACTTTTGACAAGGACAAGCAATTCCTGTTTTTGGGGCTAGACGTACAAATTAAAATAGTACTTAGAGTTTGTAGAAAGTAGGGAGGATGATCAACCAAGAAAAACAAAACTAAGTTTCGAAACTAAGAATGACCAGGAAGGCCTGCAAAAAACAAGTTCCAGAAAAATTCAGCATCAAAACACTTTAGTTTGGATAGTAAACATTTGAAATTTAAAGCTGACAATTTATATAGCCTTTACAATAATACTGCTCTATCGTGTACCTTTGATCCAATCTGAAGAGCTCCAGCTTCCAATTTACCACATGCGGAGACCTGACCAAGTGTAGGGGACTTGATAACATCACATATTGGCATTAGCAGCGGCTTTGAGAATTCTCTAATTGGAGGTTGAAGTGAATCAATTGCATCTAACAAATAGGGTCCTTTATACCTGTAAAAAATTTAAGACATCCATGTATAAGAGAAAACAAGAAAAGAAAATGACAGTGGCCAATCAATATATGGTGTTCAAAGACTCACGGTGTGTGCACCAATAACCCTCGACCTCTATTTATTTTTAGACAATGAAAGAATTTATTGACTAGATGAAAGAACAATAGCAAGGTACGGAAACAGAGGACAACAGATGCTCCCCAAACAAAAGAAAACAACCTAAGCTCTAAATCAAAAGTGCTTTCCAAAACCTTCTGCCCTCTATAGAAACACATAAGAAGGACCTAAAGAAATCATCTCCCAGAGGCGTGCTAGATAAAATTGTTGATCTCCATTCCAATCCTTGACTTCTTATTATACTAACATTATGACCATAGAGAGATCGTAACCACAATAAGGAAAAGACTTACCAAGATTTAAAACGAACATCAGAAGGAGATGCCACCAGATTTTGATTTTCTACAACACTCAAGGGAATCCATGACACAGAAGAATTTTTAAAACCACATGTACGGAGAAACACTCCCAATTGCTGTCTAATAAAATCAAACCGATCTTTAGAGTATCCCACAACATCCATCTTATTTATTGCCACAATAACTTGATCAACACCAAAACTTCTAATAAGTTGTGCATGCTCCCTTGTTTGTCCTTTGCCACTATCCATACCTGCTTCATATGCACCAACTGATGCATCAATAACAAGAATTGCAGCATCAGCTTGTGTTGCCCCAGAAATCATGTTTGGAACAAAATCTTTATGGCCCGGGGAGTCGAGCACAACAACATGATATTTGTTGGTGTCAAAATATGCAACAGCTACTGTCATCGTTATTCCCCTTTCCCTTTCTTCAGAACTTTCATCCAGTGCCCAAGCAAAAGCAAAGGATCCCTTACCCTGCTTGAAAAGGAAAAAGAAATGGTGGAGAAAATTAGTACATAATGACAATACATTAAGTTTTAGGAACACTATCTAAAAAAAGATTACCTGTAACTTGGCCTCCTTTTCGTATTTGTGCATTTCTTTTTGTGTAATTCGTCCCAACAAATGTAGTAGTCTGCCTGACAGTGTTGACTTCCCAGAATCAACATGACCAACCTAAAATTAACAAATTAGAAAATTTAGAAAAATTAATTATTGGATATAGTTTTTACTAAACACAAGATAGAAGAAATCATTGACTTACAACTGCAAGATTCAGCTGTGTCAAGGTATCTTCAGCTTGCTGAGGGAGCATCCATTTTTCTGGTTTATAAGGCACTTGTGGATGTGGTCCTTTAGAAATAGTATTATCTGATTTTTTAGTTCTTACATCAACAGCCATGTTGTCAGAACTCCTTTGAGGTCTGACATCTTTGCTAGAAGAAGAATAAATTTCACCATGACTGTCTCTGACTTTCATCAGTGCAGACAAACTATCTGACAATTCTTCACTAGATTGAATATCAATTTTGCCATCATGGGTAGACTTGATTTTACTCATTTTACTTTCACCCATGGCAGAAGATGCTGGTAAGCTGCCTGAAGTTTTATGACTTATTTTTTGATCAAATGCCACATCATTAGAGAGCTTGAAACTATCCCCCTTGCCCTTCTGAACCGAAGATGATGAGCTGGCTGAACTTTCACCATTTGACTGTACTTTCAATTCATTGTTCTGCATTATACTTGATGAAACGTAAGAACTCCTAGTGTCAGCAACCGTGCCTGCAAACATGAAAGAAATAAGATAAACAGATATTGATGCGCAAGGAATTAAGATTTGAAGTAAACATTTAGATGAAACCTACTTTACATTCCCACTCATCATTTTCTCCTTGTTTCTTACATTTTTTTGGGTGAAAGAGCTAAAATTGCAGCTTAAAGAACCAGATGAAAGAATTGGTCTGTAAAAAATATAGGTTCAAGCTGGTCTTTTTTCCTTCTAGAAGAAGGATGTTGAACACTTTTTGATTGCAAGAATTTCAAAAAAGAAAAAAAAAATCTATTACCCTAAAAAGCATCTAATCTTTAAAAGCATCTGATGCAAAATATCATGTTAACTCTAAATATGTGATTCACAAGCAGTCAAAATTACAAATAATATGTCTACCTATTAAATCTTTGTAAGACCCAGTAAGACCAAATTCTAAAACTATCAATCTGTCATACTACCTTCTCATTAAAGGATATAGAACACAAACACCTTTAACATCTTCCTATACAACTTCTAGAAGATGTAGTAGAACCATATTCCAAAAAAAGTACTAGAAATAACAGAGTTTTCAATTTCCATCTTAGTGTTTCTAAACTTTGAAGAGCATTCTAAATAATTTTTATTATTATTTGATATCCGATAGAAAAAAGAATATTGATGTGTAGAAAGGGTAGGAAAGAAAGAGAAAGATATATATTATTAGAAAGTAAGAGAAGAGATATGTTTGCAGAGGATTTGAACCAAAGTGGCCTAAAAAATAAGTAATCTCAGCATATCAGGAAATCATGGAAGGGTACTAAAAATCTTTGATGTTATTATAGAAGAAAATTACACCATTTAAATACAAGCACGTTACAACCATAAGAGTTTACATCATGTCCATGACATAATGCTAATAGTTTTTGTATCAAATTAAGCAAATCAAGACAAGCATTTAAAAAATAAAGACGAATGAGGGTGAAAAAATCCACACTATATTCATTGTAACTTCCATGGTTCCACCTCATCTAACTCCCAGGAAATATCAGAAGATAGTACCAGCAGTTTACAAATTTAAAAGAAGCTGGTAGGATTGCTTTTACTTGCCAGACCTATAAAAAGAAAATTAGCAAGATACATAAGAGAGGAAAAATACTTTCTGCTGTCCAGGGTGTTGACCTCAAGATTCCTTCTGTTTTGGAGAAAGAAACTTAGTATTAGAGTTACTTTAGGGTGGTTATAGGCCTGACCTAGGAAGGGGTTGTGAGGATCACTTTTTGGACTTATAACAGGCGTTGGTTTTTCAAGGGGAGGGAGGACTTGTTTTGTATTCAGAGTGTAGTGAGGAGAGGACTGGCCTCTCGAATGCCACTTGGGGGTGGAGGAAGACTGTCTTTCTTCATCATTTTTCATTTCAATTTCATTGTGCTAGTTCATTTTGTATCTGTTGTGTGAGCTTAGTTCATTTCAGTCTCATTGTGCTAGTTCATTTTCCTTCTGCTCGTCTTGAGGTTTTGTGGAATCAATATCAGTTTCAACTTTCTTTTTCTACTGTCCTACCCTGATTCCCATAAGAAACTACGATGACAGTTTGTCTATTTGCACCATCACAAAAGTTCTCAGCAAGATTGGCTAAGATAAACTGGAGAAATAATAATGTAAGTTTTCATTTTCGAACTATAGTACTGATTCTCATAATAGCTATATATCCAGATCCAATTAGAACATGTTTTCCCTAACTTTAGCATCTACAAGGGGGAAACGGGAGGGAGGGAGGGAGGGAGGGAGCTATATGGTACCTTTCAACCCCATTTTGGAAGACCGCAATCCAGTAGAAACCACATCATCTGGGGATGGAACATCAAACTTGAAAGGAGCTGTGGAAGAGAAGTCAGGTTTCATCCCCAGAAAACTTAATACATAGGTAAAGTAAGGTCAAATTGCACAAGAAAGGAGGTGCAGCCAACAAAACATTAATTGAATTCTGAACTTAGAATACTGGCTATTGTTTCATCAATTTATCATAACAGAGAGCCAATTTGTATCAATCAATGAATTTTAAGACTTTGTTCTAGTTTACAGAAAGTGATACTCAAAGCAAAATAGGAATTATCCTAACTTCACAAATGCACGTCCTAAATCAGACCATGCGCAGACCTATTTTTAGATGGTGATGGCCTTGAGTAATAAAAGACTTGTGAAATTCATAAAATTCTCCTTGGGCATTCCCAAGCTTGTAGTTATTGCCATCTTCTGTCAGAAAACCATCACCCTCCTTAAGAAATAACACACTCTCTTTAGGCATCAGTTGTGGCATTGATGCAAAAAGAGACTTGGCCAATTTGGATGCTCCAGAATTTTTGCATTTGGCGTTAACTGCATCAAAGAGATTGTTCAATATGTTATAGGGATATCTTGGTCATTCTTCAAAACCTAACACTATGTATTGAGCAATATCCAGAAAGCTCGATACAGCCTCTCACTCTCTTGACTCTCCCCCGCCCCCTCCCTCATCCCCCTCTTTCTCTACCTATCTTTCCATTATTCTCTTTTGCCACTATCAAAAAGAAAAGGCATTCAAAGGGGGGTTCTACATCCCATTCTTTGTGAAAATGTTATTGACATTACAAGCAACAATCGACGAATTATAAAATCAAAACAAATCTCCAACAGAAGCAACAAAATGTACGCTAAAGGTAAGCTCAATCTGGAAGGGTTACTTTTTTACCCAAGTGAGACAATATACTTGATGGACTGAATCAGATAGGGAGAACAATTTTCTATCTCTCAGTGTTTTCTACGTTTTGGACTTTTGTAAGTAGAAAAAGGTTAGATGCTGCAGATTTACGCTCTTTTTGCTGTCCTGGACATCAGCATTCCCAATAAAGCAAAAGTTTAGGATGAGATCTTAATCTCCTCAATTCATGGAATAGGATTGTTTGGCTAGCCTCTTCAAGGGTTGTCACCACATGGGTTGGTTAAGACTGGTCCTTAATTTAATTCAATGGTTATGGGAGACATACTGAAGTTCTAAGACAGACAGTATTCCTCATACAGGAAATACAAACAAATCCAAATAATATAAAACTCAATATTATCTCAGTATTGCAACGACGAGACAAATGCTGTTCTCTTATGAAAACTATACAATCGGGTAAGAAACCCCGAAAAAAACCGTCCCAATAAAAGATCCCTAACTGTTACCAAGTCCAAGACCAATCTCTCCTTCCTTGGTAAAAACTGTATCTTCCACATCGAACCTTTAGCTCTTAATGGTTCTGCTAACTTTAATAACCCAAAGGGCTCTATAGCATAAATGAAGGAGAGAACCATAGTCATACCACTTTCCAGAACACAATCAAAGGTGAAAAATTGGATCAGCTTCTACTCTAAACAACTTGATTCTGACAATTCTCACATGCCAATTTTATTATTAAAAAAATACCCAAGTGATTCAGCTACAATATCTTTTGCCCTTATCTCAAGAAGTTTAGAGTTCCATTTCCCTCTATCAAACTGGTGCAATTTCCTAAATCTGATAATATTTAAAAATTGTTTGTATACAGATTCCCAAAAAGCAAAAAAATTTATACATTGAATAAAGTTTTTAGATTTTGAGTTCCTACTTATAAGAAGCAATACCTAATTACAGCAACCAGCTTATGCTTTAAGAGAAAAACAAAATTATCAAGAGAAGGACCTTTTGCTCCCATGTTAGCAAAGCCGGTCAATGCATGCCTTGTTCCCTCCCTCAAAAACCATGCCACAAGACATCATGAAGAAGGGGGAGGGAGAGAGCCTAAGTCACATCTTGTACTACATTATCATTAAACAACCAGAATACCTGTTTTGCTATTGTCAGAAGCTCCCGTGTTAACATAAGGATGACGCACAACACCACAAATATCACATACAATCATGCCCTCTTCGTTGTCGTAAGTGCAAATAGAGCATCTCCAAAGCCCTTTAGTCTCTTGCTTTTTATCAGGTTCAGGTTCTTCTCCTGTTACCCAAAAAAAAAAAATGCTAAGGGTTTTGTGCAAAGAACAAGACTTGGCAACCTTCCTACATTCTTGAGAAACTCCGTGACTGATGCAGAGGACAACATATGGGGCCAAAATGAAAAAATGCATGAAAGAGGGTATGAAATTAATTTTATTATTTTTTTAGAGTAAAAATAAACCAAATTTATAAGAATCAGTCAGAGAAACACCAATATAGATCTTAGTCTTGCAATAGGGAAAAAAATTTAAATTTTAATATGGTTTGAAGAATTGCCTCTCTTGTGTCACTCATTAAAGTTAAACATGCCGACATCCACAACATTCTCGACAAAATATAAGAGGCAAAGGCAAATAATTACGAGCAAATGCATTAAAGATTAACGAAGGTTTAACCAAAGCAAGATATGAAGAAATCATTAATCCAGAAAACCAACATGCAGAAATGTAAACAAGTTAAATATACTAACCATATTCTTCTATTTCAACATCATAGTCATACTCTTCATAGTCATCGTAATCATCATCATAGTCAAGTCCATAATTCACCTTACGAGGCATGGTCCCAAAAAAAAAAAAAACTGCATAAAGAATTCAGATGATTAGAAATCTAGTACATGAATTCTTGAAAATAGACTAATGAAAAAACAAGAATATGATAATATGTGCAAGTACGGTGAAACAAAGCACTCTACCTCAATACTCTTCACACAGATATATCGGTATTAGCAGTTATATCTGCAGACTCCAAACCATATATCAAGAACTCTTTTGGAAATGACCAGCCAGCTGATTCTGCCAGGTAGGCCTAAGATAACACTAACATATCTGAACGTCCACACCAATCAATGCTTACATGCAAAGTGTGGGTTTGCCTTCTTGCGCCGGAATGTATATGTACTATGCAACTCCTTACCCCACAGGAAGAAAACTGCAAACCCATAACTTAAAAAGCATGAAAATAAGTTATCCCCGTTTACCAGAGCAGAACTGAGCAAATTGCATTCGCTTGTACCAACTACAATGATACATTCTTGAATGCATCATCTAACAGGAAAGAACGACTGGGGCAAAAATATCCCCATGCCAATATTTTGCAGGCATGGTTCCGGCAACCAAATTAGGAATGAGAGAAATTAAATCAGATTTTAAAATTAGCGGGTAAATAAACGTGGCCAAGCTTGAGATAATCAGGGATTGTAGAGAAGATCAAGGGCAGGATGCAGAAGAGGAAACTTACCGAGGAAAAGAACAAAGCTCACCCTATACGCAACTTCGTGGATCGAGTGAAGAGCTTTCAGAGGGTTTTCTCAGTCCAGAGGTACAGAGGTGCCGGTATGGCCGTGCCTGGGTGAAAAGTAAGAAGCTTGTATTTCCGCAGAATCAGAGACGATGGAAAGTTGCAGAATTGAACATCTATCTATCTATCTATCTATCTATCTATCTATCTATCATGTGTTATATACTTGTATCTTGTAAGGTTCTTCTAGATTGGTATCTGTTATTTAAATGTAAAATATACTGTCATCTATATTTAATACTAGTCCTTAATATAAAATCTCATTTGACTTTTAGTTTGGTCCTAATTATAAGAGCCCAATCCATTTTGTCTTTCATATTTATGCATTTTTTTTCTAAGATAGTCCTTCTAATAATGATAGTTCTAACCAACACACTTAATTAGCAAGGATATTTTAAGAATGACAACACTTATTTGTTACAAATAACTAACTTAACTTACTTCCTTAATCTCCTCAAATTAGTCAACTGGGTCTTATAATTAGGACCGGAGGTAGTATAAGACTTAGTTAATTAATTTGAATAGACCAAAAAAATTTATTAAGTTAATTATTTATAATAATGATATATTGTCTTCTCTAAAATACCATTACTAATCATGTATTAGATAAAATTATCATTTGATTGAACTTTAACATGTACAACTACTATAAGGATTACTTTAAAAAAGATAAGTAAATACTCCTCCGGTCCTTAATATAAGACTCATTTAACTAATTTGATTAGATTAAAAAGTTAAGCAAGTTAGTTAATTATAAGAAATGTGACACATTTTTCCTAAAACACTATAATCATTTTTTTTTGTACTTCCTTTCCCTCTTTTATTTGATTATGGTTGAGGGGTATTATAAGGGTAATTTAGAGAAAATTGATAAATATGAGAAATGGGTCTTATATTTAGGATCAAAATCAACTCAATAATTGGGTCCTATGTTAAGGACCGAAGGAGTATAAAAAATAAAGTAGATTGTGGTCTTATATTTAATATTAAATTAAAAGTCAAACTATCAATCCCATAACTCCTGTACACATATTTTTATGTGTATTTGTTGATATAATTGTTTGGATTCATCTTCTGTTTTAGATTTAGATTTAGATATGGATTAGTTTTATGTCCAATGCAATTGCAAATTATTTTATTCCCAAAATTTTGAAAAAAAAAATCAGGATCTTTTGCGGATTAGCTTGATCAAAATAGAAAATACAAAATTAACTTTCAATATGAAATATGATAAGAAATAATAAAGAAATCGGGCAAATAAATGAAATAATAAAGAAAATCTTCATGCATATATTTGCTACTTGAGATTATCGTACTTTATGATGATCTCATCCTATTCAAACTTAAATCTTTAATCCTTTTTCTGCGAATTTTTTAAGGAATTTCTTAAAAAAGATATTATTAAATTTTCAATTATTTTGTGTTTTTAAATGAAATTATTGATGGTAGTTATCAAACTAAATATAAATAAATTTCAGTTTTCCTATAAATTTATTTTATGAAAACAAAAACTTAGGTCAAATTAGTTATATCAAGTTTTTTATTTTTTTTATTTTTTTGTGGTTTGAAAGAACTTGATGTAGTGTAACTATTGTCCTTATTAACGTACCTAAAATTTTAAATTATTTTAATTTTTCTTTGCGTGCTAGGACTCCGAGCTGGATTCATGTTGCCTAGTTGCGCCACATGGATATACTGCCTGGGATTAGATTTCCAGTTTCTCTCTTTCAGCAATGGTGGCACGCTATTCGTTTTTTTGGGTTTAAACAGAGACAGTTTTTGCCAATTTACGCATCGTTGCAGTTTAAATTGGTTAAGCAGTGAAAACTCAAATAAGCCGGTTTGAATTTAAATAAATAATTATGAAGTATGTTTATTTTGTTTAGGTAATTTTTTTAAAATCCCGATAAATCGTAATTTCACTCTTATACTGTGCTTTTAAGATAAGCAACAAAAAGTAGTTTATGTATTTAAAAAATCCTTATCAGTTGTTATTAATAGAATTTTCTTCAAACTACCCTCCCACACTCTTCTGAAAATCTCTCCTTAAATGAATATGTTTAATAATATTTAGTAAATTCATGTCTTTGTAGTAATCATATATCCATAAGTGATTTTAAAAAATAAAAACAAAACATGATTACAGTTCTTAAAGTCACTTATAAAAAAAATCCAAATAAAAATCAAGTTTAACCAATATCACTTATAGTTAGTATCACTTATTACATTCATAATGATCTAAAATCATAGTTGTTCACTGCTAATCCAAACGGCACTAAGTGAAATTGAATCATGAAATCATCAGATAACCATGCTATCGCAATATTCTTCTCCCACTATCACAATCTCCTGAAATTCCTCCTTGCTATCTTTTAACTTCCTCAGTCATTGAAGGCCTTTTCTTCTTCCTCTTCTTTTTTTTTTTTTGTCACAGACAATCTTCTCTAAGACGACGAAAATTATCAGGGCCAAGGCAGAGGCTGTCGAACATCAAAAGCCATCTGCCAGCCAGTTGAAAAAATAGGGTGGACACTACATTAAGAGCTTGTGGTGACAAAGAAGGGCAAGGGCAAAAAGAAGAGAAATAGGAAGGAAGGAGGAAAGCAATGAATGGGAGAATTAATAATCATGTTTATTCGGATGTATAAAAAAAAAGAAATTAATAATAATGAATGTGTTGAAGGAATTATAGTCTTAAAAATTAACAACAAAATATTCTATAATTTTAAAATTGAATGCAAATGACAATTAATAATAAAAGACAATTACCAAGTCAACATTAAAATCGCATATTCCTAAATTATAACTAAATATATGAAATATTCACGATAGAATTTCTAATTAGTTAATATTCTATATATCCCATCACTTTGGTTAAGAGGAGATTTAAGCTCTATGCTGCATTTAAGCCTTCATTGTAACCACTGTACGTACAACAGACATGTTGGCCTTTATTATACTAACAATAATAACAAACCTTATCCGCTAAGCAAATGATAAAATAATAAGAAGTAAATCCCAGGCATTAGAAAATGAAAAAACTTGCCAAAAAGATCAGTGAAACCTCATATGTGGTATGGTGAGTTGCTGTATTTGTTTAACACCGTGAGTAATTTCGTACATCACTCTTACTCTCTAGTTATTCAGATCACAAATCCAACATCAATTGTTCATCCTCATGCTTTTAGGATCACGATCTAATGTGGCAATTGTCCCCAAAACAATCGAAGGCATGAACTAAAGACAACCATTTCAGATAGTTGAAAAGAAATTATTTTTGTTTTTTTGATACTATAACAGAAAAATTAAAGAATAAGAATTCATTATGAGTATAAATGTTATATCTTGATTAGAATACGGTAATAATCAAATGCAAAATTTTAAAGACTGTGCTTGCAAATCTTAGCAATCAATAACTACAACACTGCATAAGGTTGAGCCAAGAAAAATAACCACGGTAAGAAAAGTATGCATGCCTATTCAACCGAATATAAATAAACATGAAAGTAGCATAATCAATCTATGAAAAAAAAGCTATGCTTCAGAACTAATAACGACTTAGAAAGGCTCACAAAAAATAAGTTCCAAAAAAGTTCAGCTTCCTAACACTTCAGTTTGGAGGATAACCAATTTGAACTTTAAAACTGCCAATCTATATAGCTTTATAACAGTACTACCACCTTACGCACCTTTGATCCAATTGGGAGAACTCTAATGTCACACCCCAAAAATTTATGGATGACTGGCATGGAATATGAAAGAACGCACATTCCTTAAGCCTTAAAACATATGAATAAACACTTGCCATAATAATTACAATGCCATTCATATAGAATAGATCTCTTGTAATCAAAATATAAGGCCATTATTAGTAGAATTATGCAAATAGCTTGCAGGTACAACACAAAATGAGGAACTCCCCTCCACAACAATACGAACATATATTCATATATTTAGAATAATAAATGAAGACAAGGGTCTGCCTATAGATTATGTGGAGGATCTAAAACATATATAAATAATTACATAAATGTAAATTTAGTTTTACATCAGTTAGCAGTTGTTCTAAGTTTTGATCAGGGCCAAAATAAAATTTACTAATGAATAGCGTCCCATTTAAAATAAAACAAATACTAAAATAATAACTTGTACAAATACAATAAGATAATTGACCGATTTATGATTACCTTTAAATTAAAAAAAGTTAAAGCAAGGAATATATATAAATATAAAACATTTTCAATATACAAAAATTTATAATGCATTGTAATGACATTTTTCTAAAATCAAAATCATGAATAGTGTTGAAAAACATTTTTCAATGGAGGATTTCAACAGAACGAACAACAAGCATAGACACACAGTCTATAAGGGTAAGCAACCAACGAGCATGGCTAGAGCCATGAGTACAAGTGTAACTAAAGTTACGAAATAAGTGTGGGACCATTGTTCATGAGTATCAAGCAAGCTCGATGTTAACCACACCACGACACACCAATACAAGCGTAGCCGAAGTTATGAATACAACCACAGCCGAAGCTATGAATATAAGCGCAACTGAAGTCATGATCACAAGTGCAGGAAAAGCCACGAATAACAAGTACGGGAACAATGCCCACAAATGACAAGCGCGGCCGAAACTACAAATAACAAGCAAGCTCGATATTACCATGGCTTGCCAAGGGCTAAAAGCACTGTTGTTAACAAAAGCCGAGTATAAAAAAATTTCTAATCATATGTTGGCTAAACCCCCGATTCTGATTTTGTGAATGATACCTACATAGGATTTGAGTTTAGTCCGATCCACAAAGATTTCAAGATTTTGGTATCTTACCATGAGAAAAATGATGAGGGTGTCAATTGTGTGTGATTTTTTTCTTCTTCCCCACAGAGTTGGGAGGAGATAGGATTTCATAAATTAGAAAGGGTTTTATTTCATTATGGAACTGTATCTAACAAGGGTGTCATGTATTGGTGAGGTTATAGGTTTGATATGGAAGATGAGGGAGAAGATTTCAGCGAATTACTAATTAGTTTTGATTTATTGACGGAGGAGTTTTCCATTATGCCATTGCCGAACCTGGACCATGATGTCACAGATAAACTGCATTTGTATGAGAATACAATCAGTCTTCTAACACAAGCAAAGACCTCTTAAAGCATATGTGACTTGATAACATCACATATAGACATTAGCAGAGGCTTTGAGCTTGAAGCAAATTAACTGCATTTAGTAGATAGGGTCTTTTATACTTGCAAAAAAATCAAGATATTTGTATATAAGAAGAAAAATTAGGAAGAGAAAATGAGAGGGTTGAATTAATATATGGTATAAAAAGACTCAATGATATATAGTGCATACAACTAACTTAATAGTTAGCTTTTTAAATAGGGTTTCTCAACTCGCTTATGTACCTACCAATTGGTATCAGAGTAGGTTGTTGTCTTAGGGAGTTAAGCACAACAAAATAATATTTCTTGGTATCAGAATATGAGACAGCAATTATTATAGTTATTTCCCTTTTCCTTTATTTAGGCCTTTCATCTCGTGTCCAAACATAAGTAAAGAATCCATTGCTCTATTTAAAAAGAAAAAAGTAAGGGAGGGGAAATCAGTGAATGAACACAACACATTAAATTTTAGAAGCACCATCCAAAAAGATATTATCATTAATTTGATGTTTTTTTTTCATATTTTTGCATTTCTTTCTTTCTAATCCATCCTAATAGCTGTACTAGTCAAACTAAAAGTGTTGACTTCTTATAATCAACATGACTAACGTAAAATTAACAAATTAAAAATTTTAGAGAAACTAATTATTGGATATATTTGTTACTAAACATAAATTAAGCTGTGCACTTAGATACATATATAATGGTCAACCTAAAATATCTCCATGTATATCTTTCTTTACATGAATAAAAAAAATTATATTAAAATATAACAGGTTTAAAATCCAACTTAATTATGTGCAATAGCAAGTATCACAAGGAGCTACGTAAGCAGTCTACGTAAGGACCAATTATCCCAATTTTTTCTTCTATCCACTGTTTTTCTATGGGAGTGATTAAATTTTTAAAAAAAACAACAAATTTTAAAAATTTCTAGGAATTTGCTCTAGTTATTGCAGATTTGAGGTAATTATATTTTCAACATCTCATACTTAAGATTTTGAATTATCTTCCAACTTACTTCTCATTACCACTATTTATTTCTCATGTAGTGTCTCTTTAGGAAAAATATCAAATTTAAAAACATAAAATTTTCAAATTTTCTAGGAACTCATTTTCGATATTTTATATTTGATATTACTTTATTTAAGATTTTATTTTACTTCACAATCTATAGAATGTTTTTTCAAAGATGAAAATTTACCATTAGAGATCAAGGAGCCGTCCTGTCTGCAGTTGGGGGGAATGAAGACTAGAAGAAAGAAGGAAACCAGGCAAACCAACCTTAATTCTCAAGCCCCCCAACTTTATGTTGCTAGAAGGGTCAAAGGAGATGAAACGGCCAATGAAATTTCCAATCCGTTGTGCCACCTCGTGGGTATAATAATCCACAACCAGGTCACGAACTTGAATCCAAGCAAATAAATAAGAAAACTCAGTATCTGCTGCACATGGGCATATGTGGTATCCAACCTCGTAAAAAGCCATCATAAAGCCTTGTAAAAGTCATAGCCCTTGTACGCTATTATATCAGTGCTAATATACCGGATTTCATCGGAAGTTTTCAATAAAGCCATGGCCCTTGACCGGGAAAATGTGGCTTGTCAAGGGAGTCACGAGAGAAGAAAAGGAAATGGTTCCCATGTTGTTGAGCAACTGTAACAGGACTCCAAGTGTTCCAGTAAAACTGAATCAATTCCTGTAACTTAGACGCGTGACTATGCCTAGAGTCCCATACTTTAAGCAAATAAGCAGTGGTCCTTGTAGAATTGAATTGATTAGCACCGCGCGAAGGAAGTTTTAGAGTAGGACCCATGACCTGACGAAGAAAATACCCCAGCAGAAGTCAAAACCAGTAACTTATGATAAGTACCCATAATCCTTGATATAAGACTTATTTAACTAATTTGATTAGATTAAGGAAGTTAGATAAGCTATTTAATTATAAAAAATGTGACATATTTTTTCTAAAACACCATAATAATCTTTCTTAATATCCTTCCTCCCTCTTTTGCTTGATTATGGTTGAGAGAGTATCTATAGGAGTAATTTAGAAAAAATTGATAAATATGAGAAATAGATATTATATTTATGACCAAAATCAACTCAGAAATTAGGTCTTATATTAAAGCCGGAGGAGTAGTATTTTCTCCCATCCTATTTAGGAGTTTTAAATTTAAGGAGCAGTGTAGTTCATTTTACAAGTTTTAATTTGAGTTTTGTTTTACCATTTAATGTATTTTTTAAAATTTTTTATTGATTATTTATTCTCTCTCATTTGCTCCATACTTTCTCTTATTATATTTCTCCATATATTTTCTTTCATTTTTTATTTATTATAAAGGCATATTTAAAAATCAAAATATATTTCTTATTTATTTATTATTTTTAACTAATTATTAGTTATTTAAAAATTAGCAATAAGGAGGGGAGGAGTACCTTTCACCTACATATTTATATTAATTTTGTCATTTAAATTTAAATTCAAATAAAATTAAAATAAATTATATTATAAATTATATCTAAATATAAAAAGACAACTACTGAGTATAATATTTTTAATTTTTTTGGTTAATAATGAATAGATTTTATTTTAAAAAAATCTCCTTCTATTTTATATTGGATGACAAATTACCAGTTATACCACATCAATCTTCATGGACAGATTATAAGTGCAGGAATAATACTCATAATTAAAGAAAATAAACAGTAATAAAAAGGAAAAAAAGAAAATATAATTAGGAAAACTCTCAAAAATTGTCCTTAAAAATGAAAAAATTATAAATAGAACTCTTACAATATTAGTATTGGTTTTGACGATAATTGATAAGAAAATGGCAATAATTTTTGTGAATGATCCTGTATGTAGTTTTTCAATTTTCAAGATTTTTTAAATGATTTTCCCGTATAATTGCTGACAAATTAATTTTCCCCGATAATAATGGCGGAGCCATTTCCTCCAAAAAAAGGTTTCTGTCAAATGCTTCCCGCCATTTCCCTGGAGCTTCCCCTCCTTCCCTCGCTAAGAATTTAATAGGGCTGTGCGCGGAGTACTACTTACATTCTACGTAGCAGCGTTCAGCTAGAGAGGACTGGGAAAGAAGAAATCGCAATCAAGAAAAGAGTTAAAACAAATGGGAATACAGGGTCTTTTGCCCCAGTTGAAATCGATTATGGTGCCAATCCACATCAAGCAGTTCGAGGGTTGCAATGTAGCGGTCGACACATATTCTTGGCTCCACAAAGGTGCCTTATGTTGCAGTACCGAGCTTTGCAAAGGGGTACCTACATCCAGGTCTCGATCTTTTTCACCATTTCTTCATCTTATCTTGTTTGCATGAATGTAACTAAAATTTATAACATTATAGTGATTGGGGCAAATGGGTTTTGTATACGCTTATTAGATTGATAAGCTACGGCAAAGTTTCAGTTCAAGCTTTCAATATTCGCAATATACTCATCAATGGGTATGGGTTCGGCGACAAAAGGAAAATGGGTCATGATTTGATGATATTGTTGAATTATGTGTATTATCCATTTAGTTGCATATGGTCTATTAGATTGGTAAGCTTCTGCGAAGTTTTAGTTGAAGCTTTTAATATTTACGATATACGGATCAATGGATATGGGTTTGATAGACGCAATGAAAATGAATCCTGGTCTGGTGACTTATTATGTATTTTATCCAGTTAGTGACATGCTTGTAATAGTCTTATCCGGCAAGACAACGCTGATTGATTCTGGATGCTACAAACCAGCGAAAAGGGAATCTTGAAGCAGCCGAGCAAGAAAGTTTTGCACCAATAAAAGGAAGCTTGCAAGTCGTGCAATTTTTTTTAAAACGTTTCTTCTTCTTATTTCCATCATATTCAAATCTTTCCTTGTTTCTGAATTTAGAAATTTGTTTGGTTTTAGGCAATCACCAATATGGGATAATGGGCTGTGTCAAATTGACTCAGCCGTTTTTGTCGTAATTGAAGTTATTCGAATGTAACTCATTTTTCGGCATTTTCTTTTGAAAGATTTTATCCCCACTTTTCGGAAAGTAGGTTTGATTGAAGTCGCATGACCCAAAAGACTTCACTGTAAAGTAGCTGTGCTGTTTGACACACACAGCTACAAAGAAACAATCCTATCTGCGGCAAAATAGTTCTAAACCCATAGCAATATTTGCAATTGTTCTGATGATGATGATGTGTGAAACTCAAGCATGTAAAGAAAAGGAAGCTATGTCCTACTTTTGTTTGACATTATGCCAAATATTAAGTTGCGCCAAGACGTCTAGACTTTGTTGTCTTATGATGTTTTAAGCTTTAACCAAGTTAAATGTTCATGCTTTCTCAATGCTGATTCTTGTCCTGTCCAAAAGAAATGGAAGAAAAATTACAAGTAATGGTTCTCTGTTCTGAGAAATCGAATGATGGCTGAACAGGAATTCCTTTTAATCTTTCAGACACATTGAGTATTGCATGCGCAAAGTAAATTTGCTGCGGCACTATGGTGTTAAGCCTATTCTTGTATTTGATGGAGGCCTTCTACCAATGAAGAGCGAACAAGAGAACAAGCGTGCAAGGTACTTAAATGTGTCTTTACACCCTTATTTTCTCATATTTGTATATTTTTTGCTTAACTAGTCTTATTTAAGCATCTATATGTTTTGTTGAGTATTGTGGTGACTGATGGAGTATAGCATAGATCTATATATATTTTCATGCTTTAAATCTTCAGAGTGTAAGTATCCAATGGAATGTTTTCCCTTTAATTGTTTATCATGAAAAGCATTAATATAGCTGCTGCTTTTGCATGCTTTGTTGTCATCAGGAGTAACCAGAATTCAAATTAGTGTTCAGTATTGTGCTTGTACCTCAAGTCTACATTTGCATTCATGCTCTCTTTTATAGTTGTTTTGCCTTCATAGTACAATGGGTCTGCATGTAAGACTACTCTCCAACTCGATACAAGCTAACAATTTGAGCAAAAGCTGTTTTGAAACTTTGCGAGTCTATGTCTACGCAGGGTTCTGGTGCACAATTGGAATTCGTTGAACAAATGACATTAATATCAAATTTATAGTATTGAAGTAGGTAAACCAAAATTTTCACTATTTGAATGAAAACTGGGAATTCTTTGATTTTTTTATTTGTATACCTAATGAAACAACTTTTACCCTGCTGTTTGGCACTAGTCTGATTTATTTGTTGCTGTTGGTATTGAGACAAGATGGATTTAATGTCACATATAATGTGGATGACGGAACATTCCCGAAGATTTTGGTAATGGAGTTATCGGTAAATATGTTGTTCCCCAAATCTTTTAGCAAACTAAGCAATTGCGTAGCCCAACTTAAGGATTCCAGTAGTGAGGCCTGAAGCTTTTATTTATTTTCCAATCAGGTATTAAGCATTTCAGGGTAGAACAACATCACCTAGCATACCCTAAAATCTCACCTCCTTATTGCTGTTGCTTATTTACATATTGAAAACGTACTTTGTATTATGTGAATTATGGTAGGGCGAGAAAGGAAAATCTTGCACGTGCTGTTGAACTTGAGTCACATGGAAATTCTACTGCTGCTTTTGAGTGCTACCAGAAAGCTGTTGATATCTCACCTCTAGTTGCATGTGAACTAATTCAGGTAGAAAAAGGATATTGAATATATCAGGATGGCTTTTATTGTTCTGAATGAGTCAAACCTATTTAGTTATATTACAATATTCATTATATACAGCAATATCTGTGTCCTGGGCCTGTTAACGTTGTTTCTTGTGGAAGGTGTTGAAGCAGGAGAATGTGCCTTATCTTGTTGCTCCTTATGAGGCGGATGCCCAGATGACATTCTTGGCAGCTAGCAAACAAGTTGAAGCAGTTATAACTGAAGACTCTGATCTTATACCATTTGGTTGTCCAAGAGTGAGTTGATCAGACGTGAATCATATTTAAACTACGAATCTCATTGCTATAACTAAATTATAGATCTTGTTTTGTTTTCACTGGCTTGTTTTCCTTTTAAAATATAGATCATCTTTAAAATGGACAAGTTTGGTCAAGCTGTAGAATTTCAGCATTCCATGCTACAAAAGAACAAAGAGCTTAGTTTTGAAGGGTTCACCCGCCAAATGCTTCTTGAAATGTGTATATTGAGTGGTTGTGACTATCTGCAGTCCTTGCCAGGTGTGGGTCTCAAAAGGGCTCATGCAATTATCAAGAGGTTCAAAAGTTATGACAAGGTGAGTTTTCAGGCACTTGACAGCCGTATTGGGTAATGAATGCCTATGGTTTGTTGGCGTTCAAAGTACACACTCATGCATACTCGCATACACTTCAAAGTTATGCCAAACGTTTTTTCTTTCTTTTCAAACAATGTTACATCCTTTAAATCCTTTAGATAGTTCTATATGAATCAGCTGTCTGCCTGTAAATTGTGATCCTTATGTGCATAGCTATGCATCAGGTTCTTAAGCATTTGAGATTCAATGGAGTTTCTGTTCCTTCCTCTTACGAAGAATCATTCAAGAAGGCTATATTGACTTTTCAATATCAACGAGTTTATAATCCAATCATTGAAGATATTGTTCATTTGTCTGATGTACCCGCTGATAGTGTTGATGACTTAGACTTCTTAGGACCATATCCTTTATGTTAAGGTTTCTTTATTGCATTAATATCTGTATAGCTCCGGTACATTTTGTTGAATTATTTCAAATCTTACATGAAGTTGTACCTTAACCTTGAATACATCAATGCCAAAAGAAATAGCGCAAGGAATAGCAAAAGGGGATCTTGATCCATTTACTAAAATGCCATTTCAGGTAAATTTCCTATCTCTTTCATATCTTCATCTTTGATAGTAACAGATGATCATGCATTATGTGCATATCTTTTGATGAATAAATTAATTTCAGTTGAACTGGTATTTCTTTTGTTTTTCTGTTTACATGTTCAATTTAATTTGAGTTGTGTTCACTTAGTGTTGAAAAATATGTTACATATGGAACATTCAAGGGAATGGGTCCGGTTTTGGTGTTCATCAACTGATGAGTGCCGTCCAGATCTCATGTGGACGGTTCAGATTTAATATTTTTAAATAATTATTTTAAATTTAAAATAGAAAAAATTATTCTTTGAAAGAATGATAGTTAAGAGATTATCTTTATTTTTTATTCTATACCTATTAAAATAATTATTTTAAAAAAATAAAAATAAAAATAAAATTAAATCTAAACTGTCCAGATCCTATGAGTACTAGGTGCTCATCAAAACTGGTGAGCACCCAAACTCATTCCTCGGGGGAATAGTGAAGATAGGTTTTGAAAATGGCTGGGCTTCTGAAGTGGTGAATAGAGTAAATTGTCAAAGAGATTATTTTTCTTGAGCTAAATGCTATTGGAAAGATTGATCTATAACGGGATCTTTCATGTACTTCATGTGTTTATGTGACTTTTACTGTTCTATACATGCTAGGTAGTATTTTGACTCTTTTCATCACTCTTATAATGTTATAGTGGGACCTATGAACTAGGTAATGCATGAAGATCACAATAATGCCACCTTTTAGTTGGTGTCATTAATGAGCGTGATAATCTCTGATGCTTCAGTGCTTGTATGCTCTGCAACTACGAAATATATATTCAGATGCTTCTCACCACTCTGCACTGTTTCATATGTTAATGTCCCCCACCCCAAAAAGAGAAAAAAATCAATTAGTTTCCTGTCTTAAAGTACTCTCGATTAGCAGGTAGAGAATTGTACTGCTGGACTGGCAATGGAGAGGGCTTCAGAAATAAAAACATCACATTCCAAGATCACAAAGAAAAGAATAGATTTACCTGTGCAGAAGAATGTTTTAACCAAGTATTTTTGTATCCTCCTGAGAATTCTTGGTTAATTTCAGTTAGTTTAGTTTGTTTAAGTTATAAGATTGAAGGTGGGATAAAGAACCGCATTCCATGAGGTATAAAGATACCACCTGATGCTGCGGAATACCTTTTTCCATTTTTTCTATTGTTTTCAACCAAGACGTAACACTAAAAATAGTCATGATGACTCAAAGCCACATTATGTTACGGTGGCATTTAATCTTTCTCTATGACGTACTGCCATTTGTGTTGATATTCCTTTCTTCTGTTCTAAATTCTACCTTAAGCAAGTTTTCCTTGACCTTGAAAGGTTTTGCATCTCTTGAAGCAAAAAGAAAATTCATAGCACCTCGGATGTCACCTACTGCTACAGATCAAAGTACAGTGGGCTCCTCTTCTGTCAATTCCCAGGACCATGAGACTTTGGAAACTGCTTCTGCTAAAACAAAAAGCTCTGCTGCATCCTTAGGTGACTCTAAAATTTTGGCTAAAGTACCTCCTGTTAATAACTATGTAAGTTACTGAACTACCATGCGGTTAAAAAACTGTTCATTGTTGGTACGTGCTAGTTATTTATAACCTTGAACTTGGTGGTTTGCTTTTTCTTTTTTTCTTTTTCTCCAGGTTGAAAATAGGCTACCCACCAAATTTTTAGAGTTGATGGAATCTTCACGTTTCAGTAAGGATATGAATTTGTTGATTTGATTTTGATTAGAAATTTTAATCCATATTGTCTGAGTGCTAGTCGATACTCATTTCCTTGTGTACCTTGATGAAGACATGGCAGATGAGAGGTGGAAAAATCCCGAACATACTATACTGCAACAGCCCATAGAGCCAATTCATAAACCTTGTCTGGGATTGAATAAGGAGAATAAGGATACGAATGTCAAAGATACTATTGAGAGAAACACTATAGGGGCTACAAGAAAGGTCCTTGTAAGGAGTCCTTATTTTCAGCATAAACAAGCAGAAAAAGATAATTGTGACCAAAAGCCAGATTGTTTGGTCGAAGATGATTTTGCCATTGGTGAGCATAAAAATACCGTACTTGACAGTGGTTTAGACAAAGTTGAAGATACTTTTGAGGGAACGACTGCGGAGGCAACAAGAAAGGTCATTGCAAGGAGTCCTTGTTTTCAGCATAAGCAAGAAGAAAGGAATAACTGTGAGAGAAAGCATGATTGTTTGATCAAAGATGATGTTGCCATTGGTGAGCATAAAAATACTATATCTGACAGTGCTTTAGGCAAAGCTGAAGATACTATCGAGAGGGAGACTACGCAAGCAACAAGAAAGGTCCTTGTAAGGAGTCCTTTTTTCCAGCATAAACAAGTAGAAAGCATTGATTGTCACCAAAAGCAAGATTGTTTGGTCAAAGATGATGTTGCCATAGTTGAGCCCGTAAATACCATATCGGACACCCATATGATAAATAAAGTCCTGAAAAGGAAGATATCTGCTGACAGTGCTCAAAGTGTAGGGTTCTTTTACCCTTTTCTCTCCTTTCTTAAAAAAAAGAAAAAAAGAAAAAAAGAAAAAAAAGGTAGATCCTGCAATTTTATTTATGTTGTGATGGTTTTGAATTTCTTCAGGAAAACCTGCAGCCGGGCAACATGGAGTCTGCCTCAACTCTTCCTGACCATGGTATAAATAAAATATAACTCATTTGATAACTCAGTCTTAGCAAGTATAATTTGTTTCTTAGCTAATATATTCTTTTCATTATGAAATTTTTCCTCATGTTTCAAACAAATTTAATAAACTAGACCTTCAAGTACTTAATACCAGTTATATATTTACTGTCATAGCTGGTACCATTTATGTTGCTAGTTCAGCAACTATGTTCTTTGTATTCATTGTCTTTTTTACCTTTCTTTTTAAATTCATCGGCTTACAGTTTTGTCTGCCGATGCTTGTTGCTATTGTATCGTGACGATGCCTTTGCAAATCCAATAGGAGAGTCTGTATATATGCTGATTTCTTCTCTGAAATTATTTCCATTTCATGGTGACTTGACATTTCAACTATTTGCTGATTTAATGCAAATTTTCCTTGTATGTCAAATACTTGAGGTCATTGGGTCTAGATTTTAATTTTTCCACCTTAATAGAAAGGCATTGTAGCCTAATATTGGATGATTATCTGTTATCTGACCGAAATAAAACAGAGGCTGCTATTGTTGCAAAAGGAGTAAAACACAGGCTAATAAAATTGCCTGAAAATAGAAGTACCAGCCACGAGTATATATGCCTGTCACGAGATCACAGAAAAAATTGAACACAAGAACTGTATGTTACACTTCTATGGGATAACAGATTTCCTTTTGTTTCTTTTACCACTTATCTTTATGTTGGCTCAACAGAGAAATGTCAACAGGTTGGTGTCACCTTCAATTCCTCTTAAAATTATGAGTTGGTTTATCTATGGCATTTAAGACTATTCTTTGGAGTTTTAAAGAATTTCTGACTTCATTGTGTATTTGTATGCTGCTGGACTTGGTGGAAGTGTGCTGGAAGAGTCATGTATGCAGGGAGAAAAAAGAGCTGGTTTTACCACGAGTAAATTGAGAGTCACCTTCAATGTTCAGATCTTTATTTTAGGCTATAGATGTGAAAATGTTCATATCACAAAACCTGATATGTTCCAGCATTTAACAATATCACAATCACAAACCTGAGGCTGTAGATGGATTATAGGACTAATGATCTTGAGAAACATGTAGGAATTAATCTGAGCTAATATCTATGCATAAAAATGTATTTTTCTTGCTGTTTCTAAGGAGAAAAGGTATTTATATGAAGTTTCTCTGATTATATTTCTTGGGTCTAGGTTGTTGTCATCAAAATTCCGATAGAACATCTACAGAGGGGAATTCTGAAGAGAAGTTTGGTGCAAATATTTCCCACCTAGACCATTACTCAAAAATATCAGAGAAATCTTTAGAAAAATTTACCTTAATGTTATCATCCTTCAGATACACCTCATCTGGTTCTCGTGCCAGCGGTCTCCGTGCTCCTTTGAGGGATGTTCAGAACACTTGTAACAGTAGGTATTGAATTTCTGCCTCAACTCTGGAATTTATTTCCCCTGACTTTAGTTTTATCATGATCTGTGACTAGCTATTTTATCATAGGCCAAAAGCTGTGGACATCGAACAGTTTGCATTTGCGCCGAAAAAACAAAAGACTGACAGAGTAAGTCGGTGAGGCTAATTCAAGTTTAAGCAGAGCTGTGATTGGCTAAGGTTTATGCCATCTATGCAGCCATGGCATTGACCTATATTGGAGCTTTTTTTCATTGGCAACAGCGAGTTAGATTGCTGATCTAACCTCCCAGTTGAGTGCGATTTCTTTTCCTATAATCACACATTTTTGAAACAATTTGGCTTCAGCTCATCATTAAAAAGTGGAAGTATATCATATCATGCTTCCACCTTCCTGATTGATTGTACTCATTATCCACAGTTGAGTGTACATCTTACCATTTCGGTTGTATATTCATTTATAAATACTATACTGATCGGTTTAAAATAGAAAATGAAGTTAATTTTCTTTTCTTTACTTGTTAGTCCTTTACTCTTTAAGATCATAAGGTGTTCATGCTTGAGTGTATTATTGCCCCTTACTGTTTCATTTACTATGCACATGTTTGCATTACCTGCAAATTACCCTGAGTCATAAAGGGATCCGTCGAGGTTTCAAGTTTTCATTAGAACTCCAACCATCTGCTTTAATTGAGTCATATAAGTACACGGCTGAATTGATTAAACCTATAGTTTTTCGCTCTTACTGCATTAATGCCTGTGGATAGAGAGCTTGGTTTTTCTATTGTTAATACTATTTAGATTTAGATAAGATTATTTATATTTGATTTTGGAATAATGAAATATTTAGTTTTTCTTTTTTCTTTCAATGATGAATTGCTTAAGTTTGTTGACGAAATATTACTTCTGGTTTTTAATATAAAAGTTAATTTAACATTCAATTTGGTTATAAATATAAAATCTTAATTCATTTTGTTTTTCATATTTATATTTTTTTTTCAAAGTAGGCTTTAAAGTAGTTGTAAATGTTAAATGTTTAATCAAATGATGGTTTTATTTAATACACATGATTAGTAAAAATATTCTAGAAAAAATAATATTTATTTATTACAATAATTAATTTGACAAATTTTTTTAATCCATTCTAATTAGTCAATTAATTCTTATACTAAAGCCGGAGGTAGTAGTATTTGTATTCTGTATTTTTCTGTTTTAAAATGAAATTGGTATCAAATTTGAAATTATTTAGATCGGCTAGATCTTATTTCTTTCTTTTTTTTTTTGGTCAAGGCTAGATCTTATTTCAACTGGCAATACCCTCTGTCACTTTCACGAATAAAGTATCTATTTTAATGTAGATGACTGTAAATTTTATCGTTTTTGATTGTGTTAAAAATTGTAGATTAAATTTTGATATTTTAAAATCGAAGACATACACTCAACTTTGTGAATGTAAAGAACTAATAATATGGGATCTCTATTTTAAAAAATAAAGGGAGGATACATAGCCCAAAACAATTGAAAAAGAAAAGAAAGAAATTATGCCAACCTGATACGTACTGATTAAATAAAAAGATGAAGTCACAAAAGATTATCGGATCGAAGTGGAGATGCCAAATAAGTAAAGACAAATTAAAACTCCCACGTTAGACAATCATTCGTTGAATGTGTTGGCTTGGATATTGAAAGGCTCAAAAACCAATATTTCTGCGATTTTATGTAAAAAAGTCACTTCTAATTTTTCTAATCAGAATTAAGGAGATATTGTTAAATTATTGATATTGTCTATTATTTTTTTAAAAAAAAGCTCATCAATTTACTCTCATTAAATACTATCTCCGATCCTAATTATAAGAGCTTGTTAACTAATTTGAGGAGATTAAGGAAAGAAGTTAAGTTAGTTATTTGTCATAAATAGATGTTGTCTTCCCTAAAATATCCTTATTAATCAAGTGTATTGGTTAGAACTACTATTGTTAGAAGGACTATTTTAGAAAAAAATACATAAATATTAGAGATAAAGTAGATTAGGATATTATATTTAGAACCAAAATAAGAGTCAAATAAGGTCATATATTAAGGACTGGAGGTAGTATATCATCTTTAAACGCATTTTTCTCTTATATGCAGCATCTTACTTCTTAATTTTTTTGATAAGCATGCAACCTCTTGTTTTATTTGCATAAAATAACAAAAGGGGAAAATTAAAATAAAGTAATAAATACTCAATCTTTTAGGAAAAATTACAAATAAAGACTCCTGGATATGTAAAATTATGATTGAGACTCTAAATTTGAAAAATAACAAATAAAGACCCAGTCTCACTTTTGCAAATATGAAATGTGGGTGAAATGTCTGAAATGCCCCTCAGTCAAATGACAAGTTGAATATGAGAAATGATAAGTTCACTTTAGCGAATGACAACTTCAGTAAACAAAATCACAACTTGATTGAGAGTATGCTAGATGACGAGTTGACTATGGGAAATGACAAGTTCACTTTAGCGAATGACAATTTTAGTAGACCAAATCACAATTTGGATGAGGGGCATTTTAGACATTTTACCCATATTTCATATTTGTAAAAGTGGGACCGAGTCCTTATTTGTTATTTTCCAAATTCAGGGTCTCAAATCATAATTTTATATATTCGGAAGTCTTTATTTGCAATTTCCTCATCTTTTTATGCAAAATGATTTGTGACTGAATCAATAATCGCCCCCAAAAAAAAAGGATGGCTTATATATCAGATTGGATGGAGGATATGGAAAGACAAAAGCATATGCGATATTGTCTTGGTTGAAGAGGTCCTCCAAATTACTAAATTCTTCTAGAATGAGGTTAGAGAAAGAGGATGGACCTTATTTTAGTTAGGGTTAAGGTGCACCCAGTACCCCCAAGTATTTTGCCAGGTGCACCCAGTGGCCTAAAGTAATTTATGGTGCAATTTTACCCTCAAAGTAATTAAAATGGTGCACCAGTATCCCATGTTAACAGATCTGTTAGTTTGACCGTTAAATTGATGAGTCAGCACAAGTTTGACCAAAATAATCTGACGTGGCATGTCTAATAAGCAGGTGATGTGGAATTTTTTCAGGGTTAAGATGCATCCAGCACCTCCAAGTATTTTTCCAGGTGCACCCAGTGACTTAAAGTAATTTATTGTGCAATTTTGCCCTCAAAGTAATTAAAATGGTGCACCGGTATCCTATGCTAACAGATCTGTTACTTTGACTGTGAAATTGATGAGTCAGCACAAGTTTGACCAAAATAATCTGACGTGGCATGTCTAATAAGTAGGTGATGTGGAATTTTTTTCGTCTGCCATTGCTTTGTTTTCTCTGTTTAGTAAATGCTCTCTTCGGCTCTTGGAATTTTTTTCAGAGTAAAAAATTTTTTCAGAGATATTCCTCTGGTCCTATTTATAGGGTAGAGAGAGAAGATATTTTTTGGTCCTATTTATAAGGCATTGAGAGAAATTTTTTGTATGAATGTACAAATTTACCCCTCATTTATTATTGTATTGACTTTGTTTATATGAGGTATAATGTATATTAAATAGGGATAAAGTTGAAAAGTTATTAAAATTTAAATGAGAGTTAATGAAATTTAAGGTTTTTCTTGGTCTGTGTGAAACATGCTGGAAGTGCCTTATAAATAGGACCAGAGGAGTAATATTCAGACAAAACAATGGAATTAACAAGAAAAGCCATGTCACCTGCTTATTAGACATGCTAGGTCAGATTATTTTGGTCAAACTTGTGCTGACTCATCAATTTCACAGTCAAAGTAATAGATCTGTTAGCATAGGATACCGGTGCACTATTTTAATTACTTTGAGGGCAAAATTGCACCATAATTACTTTAAGTCACTGGGTGCACCTGGAAAAATACTTGGGGTTGCTGGATGCACCTTAACGCCGAAAAAATTCCATATCACCTGCTTATTAGACATGCCACGTCAGATTATTTTGGTCAAACTTGTGCTGACTCATCAATTTAACGGTCAAACTAACAGATTTGTTAGCATGGGATACCAGTGCACCATTTTAATTACTTTGAGGACAAAATTGTATCATAAATTACTTTAGGGCACTGGGTGCACCTGGCAAAATACTTGGGGGTGCTGGGTGCACCTTAACCCTTTTAATTACACCTACATGGTTTAAAAGTGAGATAAGTCACTTTTATTTCTGTTTTATCCCTTTAATTTTATTACAGATCTAAAGTTTTTTTTTTTGACCGGAATTACAGATCTAAAGTTGAGATTTATCACTTTATAATATTTGTACGAATTGGGTCACAACCTACTTTTATCCTGTTTTCTTATTTCAAGTGCTGATAAGAATTAAGTTAATCTCAAAGGCAAAAAAAAAAAAAGGGTTAATCTCCCTCAAGGCTCAACGCGTAGTGTATAAAGGGTAAATTCCTTTCAATTAGATCTTGTTCCATCTACAAATACTACTAATTGAACCCCCTAGTGACAAAACAATCCCCATCACTCATAATAAGTGAAACAGATTTATTTAAACGTGAGTAGACCTAACATGACATGAGAACATATCTCACATTAAATGTTAATTAAATTAGTTAATATGATTTTTTTTAATAAATACTCTAAACATCTTTTCTAATTCCCTCGCCCTCTTTCCTACCTGATTACTATGAAAAAAATATTAATAGAGTTAATTTAAAAAAAATTGATAAATATGTAAAATAAGTATAATATATAAGATCAATATCAATTTTTTAATTAGGTCATATATTAAGAACATAAAGAGTGTATGTATATTGGCATCACACACATGTGAAAAAGATTCCAACATTCAAATCTCCCTCAGTGCATACGTGCAAAGCCCTTTACAATGCTTGAATATGACACGATAATACTTTATCTCGTCCTAAATATAAAATCATTTTAATTTTTATTATAAAATAGGTTTTATATTTAGAACCGAATATGATTAGATTTGAGATAAATATATAAAAATATCCTTTCAAACATAAACTGCTTTTAAAAAAAAATTCAAGAAATTAAATTAACTAATATTGGGGGTTTTCTATACACTACACATATCAATATTCCCCCCCCCCCCTCAAATTAGAGAGACAAACACAGAGAGTTGAAGATTATAACAAGAATTAAATTTGCAACCTCCTACTTACAGAAATTTTTTCATATCATTAAACAACAAAGTCATTGGTATTACATATCTCAATTTTATGGTTTGTATTATGCTACATAATAATTAAGCTATTGATTTGATTAATAAATAATAAATGAGATTAAACATAAAAATAATGTCATTTTATTAATGTTTTGCATACGATAATAAAGGTAAATAAAGGATAATTGATGACAATGACGACATTTCAAATGAATTTTTTTTCCCACGTCCACATACAATAAATCAAAGTTAGGAATCTGAAAGGAAGTTAAGGCAGATGAATAATTCAATATCTCACAGCCAATAATTCAGAAGCCAATGAGGGAATAATATGATTAAAATATTA